CGAAAGCACCGATTATTTTTGTAAAATAAGGAGTGAAAGTTGATCTGGAGACCGTTCGATCTCTTCGTGCGCAATAGGACAATTTGGTGATTCAAACCGGACATAATGCCAAGATGAAGCTCCTGACTGCAGATCAGAAATTGTTTAAATATTCCGTTAAAAGGGTTCGCTGACTTCATAACCTTCGATCAGTGACCACTCTGGAGCCCTGACCTAAATCCCATGGGTATCTCAGTGTGGTCAGCCTTTGAGATGAAAACGTCCGTTAGCCCAAACAAGAAGTGAAGTAATCTCGAAAATGTTCTCCAAAAAGCCGGGATCAACTCGATGACCTTAGTTGCGTGCCACCGTCAATGACGTCCATCGTCGTCTCTGAGATTGGGTGAAAGAAGAAAGCATCAGATCCCAGTCTCAATGTACTGTATGATAAGAAATTAGTGATAACTTCTGTGAAATTGGTTTGCTTTTTTTAGCTTTCTATTCGTTTTCGTGGATGTGATGACTGTGTAATCATAATTTTGGCCCACCCTGTATATAGGAAAAGTAAAATAAGGATTTTACGGAGCAAGATTCTTATCAATTATTCTGTGCCTTCTTAAGTAAAGATTGCTGGATGTACAAGCCTAAGTGATTCCGATCATAATGTTGTACTTTGCAGTCAATTATTCATCGCGGCCATGCTATCGTTATTGCTGGACGCTGTGGTGATGAATCGTGGTTATGAACAGGATCCGGACCGTTTCGTTCTGCCGAAAACAGTCCCATCGGATACAAAACAACCGCCGGACAGCGCAATGTAAATGCTTTAATAGATTTTATGTGATAAGCTAACTGTATTAAGAGAGAAATGAGGATGACGGAATGGTCCCAGAAAGCATACGGTAAAGTACAATTTTTCGCACGATTCTAAGAAACACATCCCTCGCACGAATCTCTGAAGGCACAGTTCAATATAAATTTTTGTTTGCTTTTTAAAATAAAAAAAAACGAATAGTTGGCGCGGGTAACGGAACTTCTCCCCTATCGCGGCATTCTCCCTTGCGGCATGCGGCAAATGTCACTGCAATTACCGTACTCACCCTGCCTCCCCGCCAATCGATAGGACGCGAAATTTTTCGTTGATTGCCTTGCTTTTTTATTGAGTTTGATCGTTTTTTCTTCCGTTTCTTTTTCGTTTTCATGTTTATTAGACTTGATTAATTAAAATGACTCCTCTTATGTGAGCGGCGGCATTGAAATTGAAGGAAGCGGTCAGTCAATTCAAATAATTAAAGGACTCCCTACTTCACAAATTGCGCGCTCCAAACTTCCATCGCAATCCTGCGATACGCGGCGGGTGCGGCGTTTGCGACGCCGTGACAAGGGAGAAGTTCCCAGACCCAGTTGGCGCGGAAGAGTGCATCGGAGACAGTAAAGTGCGAGAAAATCTTTAGAGTTTGCAAATTACAAGGGTTCGTAAAAGTACTGGAAATATGTAGATGTTGTACTAGATTAGCATGACGGAAATGGCATGGGAGGGATCCTCGGGCAAGGTTTCAGTTGTTGCGATGCGCTAAGAGATTCATTAAGCAAAAATGGCCAAAATACTTCTACAGTCGCTAAAGCTCGCGACCAGTTGTTCGAATTCATAAGAGGTGCCCCTTGTGGGTGGTGTTGTCCCCGCAACGCCGTTGAAACTCGTCCACTTCTGGGTGTGTATGTCATGGAAGCGGGTTTGAAGCCCTTGTTGCGCCCTTCACAGGCCTTTTTTGACCAGTTTCTCATTTAACTGTGCCTTTACGTACAAATTCTTTGGGCAAAATCTTACGCGTTTATCTACCTACGTGGCACAGTTTTGAGTAGGACCGGCGAGCGTGATAGGAAATTCACTCCGGAGAGGGAGAAATGGTAAAAAGAAGAGGGAGAGAATCGGAAGTTCGAAAGAGCGGAATTTTTTAGTGAATACTTTCGAAAAAAAAAGAAGCGACTCCTAATTTTTTACTGAATTATCTGATGTAATGAGCATTGAAATAGAAGTTGACGTTCAGAAGTCATCTGTCAGCTGTGGTGTACGGATGAATAGGTGCTCATTGCCATCCCGAGCCACTGTGTCGATTTGATAGGAGTCTGAGTGCTCTCTGTGGTGATATCACAAAACGAACTTATGCGATTATGCCATGGAAAATTCGAGGGTACCGCAACCATCCATTTGCGATTGCTCCACCCATAGCGGGCGGGGCTTCATTTTCTCGATGGCGCTCTGCTCTTTTTGTCAGATTTTTTTTTGTTTCTGCGATTGCTTTCATTTGATGTAATTATTATCTCTTTCGTGAATGGAATGTATTCTTAGTTTCTTCATTCTCGTGCTCTTTTCTCTTTTTCTTCTGGATGTATTTTTCATTATTAAATTTGTTTAATAAGTACATTACTCAGTACAGGTGTTAAGATTTTGTACCGCTGTTGTTTATAATATTTCACTATTTTTATTTCAATTATTTATGTTCAACGGGTGCTGAATGTAGTTACCGTAGTCCGGGACCTTAATGTGATAATTGTGGGTTTTTAGATTTTTTTCCAGTCGATATTAAATAACAAGCGGTAATAAAATAATTATTTCCAAATTAGAACTGTGAACAAAGTGGCAGGGGAGAGAAATCCCAACTGTGTACATGGTTGATATAAAACCTGGAAAATCGACGACGAGCCTTGAACTCATTACAGGGATTTCCATTTAATGTGAAGGGATATTTCTGATCGTAGTAAGGTCTAAGAGACTGAAAAATCTAGTTTTTAGGTTTGTCATTTGTTTATTGTATATTTGTTGAAGAGTGGACAAGTTTCCCGGAGCTTTGTGGTGGGTTGCTCTTCGAGTTCATCTTTAGTTAATAATTTTTTGAAAGTGTGATGGGGAGTTTTGCCCATATTTTTGTAGTTTTTTGCTGTACCTCTGTCAGACTGAATGGTAAGATTTGTTTTCTTGTAATACTCAGTGTTCGAGTTTGAGTATCACTGCTACTGGTATTATGAAGAAAAGTTCTCCAACTCTCAAAAATATGTTTCCCCACAGAAGTTGACTCAGTTTTTGACGGAGTTTTAGAAGTTCCTCTGGATTTCTGGGAAGAAAGAGTCACCCAATGTGCTTGGGCCACTTATGCGCATGGACTTATATCTCGAGAAAGCCCGATCTTGCCTTATTTGCTCTGTTTCCACGTCGGCGGGAGTATTTAGTTTTGAGTAACTTTATACTAATACACACTAGAAATACTAATTTTGGTATGATTTCTAACTCCTCTATCTACAGGCCTATCAGATCTAATAGCAATTCCTGTAGGTGTAATCAAGACTTTGAATTGCTCCTCGCCCAAATCTGCAGCTACTGATACCCTATTTCATCGTTCCAGTAATTCTTTTGACTGACGCTCAAAAAAGAAAAACGGTATGTCAACAATAATGATGGTTTTTCTACTGAAAAATGATGGCTATTTATGATTTTTTTATTATTTAATTATTATTTTTATATTATATATTTTTTATATACTTCAATCTTTGGTACAGCTTTAAATTTGATGATTTCCTGGTGAAAGAGGATATTTGCTTTGTCGTGGTGGGATTCAGTACGGGTAAATGTTTGATTCTGACCTGGAGAGCGTTTCCGATTCGAACCACAAAATGTTCTCGAACTGCTTGGGTTACAGTAGACATTTAAGCAGTAAGTTCATTATATGTTCAACTGGTAGGGGAAGGACACTGTTAGAATTTAGAGTAGCGGCTTCCGATGGCATATCCGATTGAAATGAACACTTTATTCTCTTTACGAACAACCCTCTACTACTTTCATATCTGATGTTAATACACCGCAATCTGCAAGTCGCTGTCGATCGAAAACGCCGTGAATGATTAACAAATCGAAACGGAAATCAGAATAACGAGAACAGTATATAGGGGTAGGAAGGGGATAGAAAAAGGAGGTGAACCTCAATCAAACACGACTAGTTTTCATGTACCCAATTGTGTGTATGTGTGTTTATGCAGCAACGCAATTATCGATTGTCACACTGATCACTTATTGATTAGTTGTTAAGTTATCTACTTTCGACCGAATCGGATATATTGACTTTTTCTCTTTTCCGGCATGTCGAATTCTGCCGAACGTCCGAATCGAACAAATGCTGACTTTCTTTTTTCTATCTCCTGAAAAAGTGAGAGAAATAAGGATGAACTAGCTTGATCCCCAATTTCGATATTCTTGCAATAGTTCCTTAGGGTGAAGTAAATTTTGAGGAAAATAATTCTATTCGGGACGGCTAACCCTAGTCCCAAAGACCCATGGCATAATTTGGGGAGATCCAAAGTTGTCCATCCGGTATGCTGGGTGCAAAGCTGTGTGAGTGATCGCAGTTGTCGAGATGCTGGCCGCCTACTTCACAGAGCTCATTTCATGGGCGAAATGCGCAAACAGCTGCCTCTACGATCCCAAATAGGAGCCGAGTGCATGGCGCATCCCGGCAATGAATCGATCAGCTGACAATAAACTTTACTATTCATTACTATTATAATTTGAAGGTCAATGGCTTACTCATAGTGGAGGTTGGATCTGTGGAGTGCCCTGAACCGGTTTTGTTTTTGTTCAGTGTTGTTATGCGATCTAGTTCACTGCTTGAGCCAACCGCCTTTTTATTTTTCTGAGATCTGTCAGGGTTGCATGGGCCCCTATGTAGTAGGGAAAAGTTCTAGAGAAATGACGCTAAATCGGGTGTTTATACTCGCAGTAAGTCCTCATTCCGCTGATTAGAAACTTCACTTACTGCAGATTCTTCAGCTGCTCTCTTTCCAAAGCGAACGAACGCCGATTTGCGTTTCTCAGCGCTGCTTCCTGGTGCTGCTGAAATAAGGAACGATATGTAAAATAAGTGGACTGATTTTTTATAGCTAATTATTACTAAAAAATATGGTATAAGGTTTTCCGTGGACTTATTTGTAGTGTACCTAAGAAATCTGTGCATACGGCTGACGCTTTCCTATGGTATGACTGCGCATAACCCCTGGTCCAAGGGTTTATCAAGGATATCTAAGCGAGTATTTCCTTCGGTTTTCAATAATATCCTTCAAGATCACATGCGATCCATCCTGGGCTAGATATCGGAGTAGTTTTCACGTGACCTGGGAGTTTTTCTTGAAATTTGAGCTTTTTCTTGTGGGATGAGGAGCTTTCTAGTATCATTAAGGGAGTGGCCACGTTATTGTCTAATAGAGCAATATTTCAGACAGAAGAACTTTCTCTGTTAGTAGTTCCTTCTATGGCTTTCAGTGTTTAGACATTTTTTGTGCTATTTTGTGGGTGATCCATTTTTTTTTGCTGCTATTTATTTAAGCGATCTCAAGCACGCGAATTCCCTGATGTTGAGATGTTTACACGTGGGCGAGGTATTCCTATAAAAGATGATGTTTTGATGAAATAAGCGACTTCGAAGGATTGACTACTTCCTCCTATGACTACTGCCATTGCCCTATCCTTTCCTCTGCTACCGTACCGGTCAAGTTGTTGGGGCAGTTGAAGTGTCTATGACGAAGAACTTTGATAATCTAAATAATTGAGTGCAAAGGTGCCTGTCTGGGGTTAGCGCTAATGGCCAAAGGAAATAAAGAGCAAATACAGAAGTTCATAAAATTCATTCCTTATGAGTTTTCAGTATCTTTTTTCTTGGAGAAAATAGCTCATAAACCAGTAGAGCACCACTTTTATTAAATAGGAGCTATTCATTGCTTTACCTGAATCGAGATTGGTGTCTTGAAGTAAGTACTGCAGTTCAACAAGAGACCCTTGAAGAGTGTCGTGTAGACGGCACAGATTTAATGAAGGGAACTGACGACAGAATTGCTCCGACAGCTGATCATCTCTGGAGCTAGCGAATGAGCAGGCGATCAGGGAGAAGACGAACAGCACGCACCACATAACCCTGAAATCAAGCGCATTTCGAATAAGCCGAGGTACATACCAGAGTACAGGTGGGCGACAACTGGTTGAATGAAGCGAATGAGAACGAAAGAATGGGAGGAAATGTTGGGGAACTTGGAGCTTAGGTTTAACACAGTTTCAGAGGAAATCGAAGAGGTTTTGCCAGAATTTGAGACCGATTCGAAGAATCTGGTGGATGAAAATTTGATGTGATGATTTCACATGAGTAATCCTGAAAGTGCCCATTTACAAATTTAACACTCGGGTGCTTCCCCACCACCCTTCCTTTCCCTCCCGTTTTCCCTACTATTAACATAAGGTCATTAAACTCGTCCATTTTACTGAGACCCCGCTTAGCCTGTCCTGAGCTGAATATTGGAATAATATTTATGTGATCTGGCATAATCACAACTTCCCAGAGAGTAAGGTGTTACCGTTACTTGGGAAATGCGCTACACTGTTTCCTTCCAGAGGCTTTTAGTCTGAAAAATCCTCCTCAACCTGAAAGGGTACTGCTTTGATACTGTTATGCCACTACGGATCCAGCTCCTACTAGGGAATAGGAATGATAGATGAGATACGCCCTTATGGCTGTCATAGTTGATCTGGGTAGTAAGCAGTAGAGCGAAGGGAGGCGGCGCAAATTGCGGTTATGACCTAAATCGGCTTTCTATTGAAAATTAGACCCGAACTTCTGAGTCAATGTCGAGCTGCTCCATACCTTTTTATAAAGCCTTGACCGGAAAATTGCAATGGCTGGACCAATGTTTATTGTTTTTNTTTTTGTTTTGTTTTTTACGGAAGCTGTAAAAGGAAAAAGAGGGTGGAACAACAGCCAGTAGTGGTTACGGCTCTTAAGGTCCTTAAATCACCTATGGAACTCAATCAACAACGATTTCGTCACATTGAGGCAACTTAATCCGTCGAAGAGCGTAGAGCGCACTACAAGCGTGGTCCAGGGATCAAATCCCATTGATACCGGCCCACACCAACCACGCATTCCGTCCCTTCGGGGTCGTCTAGTTGAAAGTAGACTCGCCTGGGGTGATACGATACTATCTTGCACATCGGTTGGTAATCCCAGGTCATTGTTCAAGGTGAGCATTCAAACATCAGTATGATTCTGATTGAGAATCGAATACGAGGTGCATCCCGGAATCGGAATTGAACAGTGCCACTGGACTCAATCCCTTCGTCCTTTCAATCGGAGATAGGTCGCCAAGAAGAATACATTGCTGACTTTTGCGCTGATTGACAAATGCGAGTCATTCAGGCGTCACTGCTTACTTGGACTGATCAGCGTTAAGAGCTTTGACGCCACTTTGTCACAATGGAAGCTATTTTCGCTCACAAGATAAAGGCACAATCATGAGAAGGACAAACCAGGTGACAGGGTAGAGTGAAATGGCTGAGGACATTCAG